TATATTAAATCAATACATTATGAACAATCTGATCACACATATACTTGTTAAGAACACTTATATATAAAAATAAATGGTCAACTAGACTGGGAATGGGGGGGGGGTAAGAAGAGACAAGGATAATAATAATAATATTATTATTATTATCAGAAGGGGTTTTGTGGAAATTTCAGTATTTTAATAGCTGAAAAATTCCCATCATATTAAAACACAATTATTTCAGTATTTTCATAGTTGAAAGCAGAAGTCAATTGAAGCTAGACCACCAAGGTTTTCCCTGTTGGTTTTATTTTCAACTATGAAAATAATAATATTATTGTTTCCCTGAAGAGGTCCAGACAAGTTAGCTAGACGAAACGCTGAGACTAATTCATATATAATTTTTCACATATAATGACTTCTCTATACTCGGTGCCCAATTTTTGTCAAACTATTCGTTCTAAACTTCACGAATATTCGTATATATTATTTTCCAATTGTATTATTATTATCATTATTAATAATAATAAAAAGAATGTGAAAGCAATTTGAAACCTAATCACTCTGGATAATAAGCTAATATTACCAGGGTAGGTTTAAGGTGAGAACAAACTGTTTTTGAATATACAAAGGGGGTTGAATTTTCGTATGGCTGAGGCTTTAATAAACCGTAGTAGATGCCCCTTTACACTTTTATACAACACCACAAAAGCCGAGTTAAGATCAATCTTATGACCTGCTTCGATTATATCATTAGCAATAGAGGATGATGGATGTTTATCCTCTACTCTGATCGGGTCATTTGATTCTATTTGTTTCTGCAACCATTTTCGTACATGTTCACATACCTTAATTTTTAAATCACGATTGCTCCTCCCTGTGTACGTGTGGCCCCACACACATTTAAATTGGTAGACACAGTGGGATGTGACACAGTAGTTTTCATGCCTTTTAGGTTTCGGATGAAGCATGAACCTCGTTCTTTCTTTGATGATGTCCTTCGCTGCTCAATACATTTTGTTAATGACTGATTTAAGCCTTTGTTTCAATAAAAGGTTATTTGAATCACCTCTAGACGGTGAGGTGATGTAGACAGGCTTTTTCTCCACCAAGGCTACAGTAGGTCTCATTCTACCATGAACTTTCCATCTATTTATAAGTTTTAGTGGATAACTATTACCCATTAATGTCTTGTTTAACAACTTAACATCATCATCAGTAGCGTAATTTGTGCAAATACGATTAAGCCTGTTAAATAGACATCTTATCAAACCCCATTTGTATTGCACAGGACAATAGCTATAATAACTAAGGTATTGACCTGTTCACGTTAGTTTTCGAAAAATGGATCGTTTGATTGAGCCATCTTTTCGTCTACTTAGAAGTACATCTAAGGAGGGAATCTGGTCGTTGTTCTCCTCTTCTCATGAGAGACTGATGTGGTTTTGAATAGTGTTAAGTTTATTCAATGAACAGTTCATATCATCCTTTCTTTCACAGTCATCAAAATGGTTCCGGATGAAATGAACAGTTATTGTGCTTGTGGAAGTTTGAATGCTCTCTTTAAAATAACTACTACATCTATCGTCAAGAAGGTACAAGTATTAATAAACAGTTGTCTACGCAAAATACTCATCATTCACTGGCCGAATACTATCAGCAACGGCATTTTATGGGAGAGGATAAACCAGATTCCAGCTGAAGAGGAAAGTAGGAAAAGACGTTGGAAGTGGATCGGACATGAATTATGGAAATCATCAAATTCGGACCAAATAATACATATGGGACAGTTAAGCAATGAGATAATAACTAGAATCAATAGCGTTTAACAAGAATAAACAAATGTGAAAACAGTGAAAGGATTCTATTCAAATTGATGATGATGATGATTGCTTGTTACCCCTAGTCGAGGAGCATAGGCCGCTCACCAGCATTCTCCATCCAACTCTGTCCTGAGCATTCCTTTCCAGTTCTTTCCAGTTGCTATTCATCCTTTTCATATCTGCTTCTATTTCCCGGCGTAGTGTGGTCTTTGGCCTTCCGCTTTTCCACTTCCCTTCCGAATTCCAAGTAAGGGATTGCCTTGTAATGCACATTGGTGATTTCCTTAATGTATTTCCGATCCACTTCCAACGTCTTCTCCTAATTTCCTCTTCAGCTGGAAGCTGGTTTGTCCTCTCCCATAAAACGCTGTTGCTGATAGTATCCGGCCAATTGATGTTGAGTATTTTGCGTAGACAACTGTTGATAAATATTTGCACCTTCTTGACGATGGTCGTAGTAGTTCTCCACGTCTCAGCTCCATACAGTAGGACTGTCTTGACGTTCGTATTAAAGATTCTGACCTTTAAATTGGTTGAGAGTTGTTTTGAGTTCCATATGTTGTTCAATTGTAGGAATGCTGCCCTTGTTTTGCCAATCCTCTCCTTTACATCTGCATCCGATCCTCCTTGTTTATCAACGATGCTCCCCAGGTACTTGAATGTTTCCACCTCTTCCAGAGTTTCGTCATCATGTGTGATTGGGTTGGTGTTCTCCGTGTTGCATTTGAGAATCTTGCTTTTTCCTTTGTGAATGTGTAGGCCTATCGATGCAGAGGCTGCTGCTACATTTGCTGTCTTCATCTGCATTTGGTCATGTGTATGAGAGAGGAGGGCTAGGTCATCTGTGAAGTCCAAATCATCTAATTGATTCTGAGAAGTCCATTGTATTCCGTATTTCCCTTCCGATGTCGAATTTTTCATAATCCAGTCAATCACTAGAAGGAAGAGAAATGGGGAGAGTAGACAGCCTTGTCTGACTCCGGTCCTTACTGGAAATGCATCTGTCAGCTGTCCTCCATGCACGACTTTGCACTGTAGTCCATCGTATGAGTTTTGGATAATGTTGACAATCTTTTCAGGAACTCCATAGTGTCGAAGAAGTTTCCATAATGTTCTCCTGTCCACGCTGTCAAACGCCTACTCATAGTCAATGAAGTTGACGTATAGTGATGAGTTCCACTCGACTGATTGTTCAACGATGATCCGTAGTGTCGCAATCTGGTCTGTGCACGACCGATCCTTACGGAATCCAGCCTGTTGATCTCGAAGTTGGGCGTCTATTGCGTCTTTCGTCCGATTCAGCAGCACTCTGTTGAAAACTTTTCCTGGTACTGATAGCAAACTGATTCCTCTGTAGTTCTCACATTTGCTCAGATCTTTCTTTGGTATCTTGATGAGATATCCTTCTTTCCAGTCCGTTGGCACTTGTTCCTCTTCCCAAATCTTCTTGAATAGAAGGTGAAGCATGTTTGCAGTTATTTCAATGTCTGACTTCAGTGCTACTTCTGGTATATTGATTTGTCTGATGGCCATCTTGACTTCTTCGACCGTTGGTGGAGTGACATCTATTGGAAGGTCAGTGTGTGCTGCTTCGATGTACGGTGGATTCAATGGGGCTGGTCTATTCAGCAGTTCCTCTAAGTATTCTGCCCATCTTTTTCTCTGTTCTTGAATCTCAGTGATTATCTTTCCTTCTTTGTCCTTGACTGGTGTCTATGGTTCGCTACATCTCCCTGCCAATTTCTTCGTCGTATCATATAGTTGTGTCATATTCCCTTCTCTTGCAGCTTTTCCTGACGTCGTTGCTAGTTCTCTCATGTATTTCTGCTTGTCGGCTTTAATGCTTTTCTTCACTTCCCTGTTTGATTCTGCATAATCTGCTTGTGCTTTGACTTTCTTGTGATGATGCTTCTTAGGACCAAGAACCTCCTGAGCAGTTAACGACAAAGCAACAACTTGGTTTCTCCTGAAAATTATCAAGAAAGTGTGGTGATTGGTTGAGTAGTCAACACAAACGTACGTGAAATGTGCAATTACTTTCGAATAGGTCTGTGGTGAAACATCAAACTTCAAAACCCAAACTGATGTGAATCAAATCTGCGTCTTCAAATTTAATGTTTCATCGAATTGTTGTTCGAGAAATAAACGCATCGGAATGCGTGAATATTCTGAAGTGATCAAAACCAATCGGACATGAGACACACACGTTAAAACAAGCATGAAAACCAGTGACTGAAATGATAAGTTTTGCACATTGAACGCTATACTCGGATCCTAAGTTATTCTCGCACCCCCACGCAAGAACTACACAGAGAATTTAACACGAAAGAAAAAGCACAAAATAAGCGGGAAGCACTTCACTTCAAAGGTTCATTTATCTATAGATATTATAGGGTTTTTATAGTATTTAAAATGTCTTGAGGTTTTCCTGAAAATTCTAGAATACTACTAAAAATAGTATCAGTGTATTAATCAGCTAATCAGAACATTTACATGCGACTTTTCGTTTACGTGATACTTCAAGCAAAACTTCAAATCAAACGCTGATTGGATAAAAGCCTTCTAAATGTTTATTGAGCTTGTCATGTCTATTGCAAGAAACTTTAAGAATCATCCTAACATAAATAAAGATAGCAGACACAAGCGAACAGACACAATTAAACAGACACAACCGACATTCCACATCACACACCAACAAGGTTTACATGACTGTCCACTTATCACTAACTACCTAACAACACTCAACCAATAGTAATTGAGTGCATGGAATATACGGTTGGTGGCAGAAAATTCTCAACGTGTCACCTGTCTGTCTCACACTCTCATTCAAAATCTTACTTTCGTTCATTTCACAACCACATGACAGATTGCTCGATCATGATCAATACACCTCGAAAGTCAGCTTGTGCATCAAAACTTCCTCCTCCTACATCACAAACACCAACACCACCACCACCAACAACAACACAGTCGAACATGACCATGGTCACACGATACACAACTGAGGAGGCGAATGAGTTAGCCAAACTGGTATTGAGATATCGGGATATTTGGAAAGACAAGAAACAGTCATCCGCACTTGTCCAGAAACATTTGTGGATGCAATTCTCACAGTATCTACACTCGAAGGGATGGCCGAGAAGGAACTGGACTCAGCTGCGTCGAAAGGGTCAGAGTTTGCTGAGGAAATTCAATGACATGACAACCAACCAGTTGGAGGTGTCGAAAAGCAATCCCAATCCCCTTGAAAATCCCTCGAACCACACGCCACTCTCCAGTTCCAATGCAAACCCACACGTGAATGGACACATTGGTTCGGTAAGTTTGCCTTACCCGATGACGTGCTAATTGTTTCCATTGAATTCAGGTGACCGAGAACCAGTCGAGTGTGCATCGACCCAACTTGCCTACACTGACCCCGTCACCAGTGGTAAGCACCACCTCCAAACGTGCCACACCATCACTCAGTTCCCCTACAAACCACGTGCAACCGAATCCCCCAAACACAAGTGGTCCAAAAATCCTCAACGCATTCTCAACAGCTCACATGTCTCAACAACTGGCCATTCCACATGATGTTGCAGTGCTGCAGCCAACCACCACCAACAACAACAACATGGTTGGTGAGGTGGCGATTAACCGAGTTGCCTTACTGACTCCTCTGTCATGTATCTCGTTCGGAGTGGCGAGAGCCCATACTGCATCCGAATCTCCTGTTCGAGAAGTGAATATGTCGAAGCCACCATCGGACCAACCGAGTCGAAATCCTGTGACTGCAACAATTGATTTATCAGTGTCGAGTGATGACGAGGAGAGCTGTCAAGAGTTGAGTGGAACGAGAGATCAGGTGAACACGAATCATGTGAATGATTTGGGTGAAACGTCCGAGGATTGTATCACGTAAGTAGGACACCTCTTTTGAACTGACACTTTTCACCTTATGTTATTCATGTCGTTTGTTGTTTGACTGCCACCACTAGCATCACATATTGCTAACTGACCGACTGCTCCACACTGCTTGTTATGTGAACATGAGAATGTGCAATTATCTTGATGACTATAATTGTTACGGTACTACTAGGATGCGATCCACACAAGCAGTGAGTGAGCGAGCTAACCATCGAGACAGATATAAATAAAATAATTTATTTGTAATATCGGAATGAGTAGAAAATGAGATTTTCTGACATTCCATGACTCAGTGTAGGCCACTTCTTCAGAGAAGTAATCACCAGATCAAAATTATATGTTTTATATATACATTATTTATAATTTATAACAATCTACCCAATGCTCAATTTATTCGAAATTATCAAGTTAAACCTTGGTGATGATACCAACGAGACAGATAGATAGATAGATACATAGATAGATAGATAGATAAATTAGTAGACGGACAAATAACCAGTATAAACAATCATATGTACACAAATCAAACACTGTTCGCTTGTGTGCAATGGTGGTCCATCTCACTGAAGTGTCTTCGTTCCAATTTCTACGTCACTGAACAGCTTGATTATTGTCGTTAATATGAGGGTGTGTGAGTGTGTGTGCATGCTTAGTGAAAATTCTTACCTACTTGCGTTTGTGAGTTGTGCATATGGTGTAGTACATTTGGTGATTATGATATATGTGACGACATTTATGTATATATAAACATGCATATAATCACATCTATCCTACATTTGACTCGTGATAATAATCAGATGTTCAAACTGTGACTGGTTTTTGTAGATCGGAATGTGAGGGAACCCCATTGTCAGAGACGTTGATTCACAAGCGAATAAAATGTCTAGATCTGAAGATTGAAATTCTGCAGATGAAGAAACAATATTGGTCGGAGAAACTGAAATTATCATCGAAAAGCTGAATGTTTGGTGAGAGGCGATCCATGCATGAACTACCATTGTGATTGTCATCAATTCTATTCATGTGAATAGTGCACATTTGTAAATTGAATTTATATCTATGTATGTATACATATTGTGACTGACCTATCTATCAATGAATGCACGAAAATTGTTCTTCATTTTCATCATTATTGTGTATTCGTGTGGTGTGTGTGTGTGAAGTTGTTTGTCTGTTAGTTCTTTTGTTTTGAATCGATTTGAAGTGGAGTGTTGTGCAATACTGGTTTGTTTCAAATGTTGAGTGGTTGACTACTCTGTTGCATACTGTACATAATTAAATTGAAATGTTGGTTTTGTAAAAATCCCATTTCTTTTTGTCTTTGAATTAATGACGGTGATCGACAATTGGTTATGTGGATGACGGATGATAGTTGACTTAGAATACACATATATTAGACGTTTGTCAATTTTGTTTATTATCATGATGAATTGGTTTATATTGATAGATATTTATTCTAGTGATTTCTGTGTAATTAACTACTTGATATTTCATTGATGATGCATAACATGTTCGGTATGTTCGGTAATCGACATATGTGTATAATTGATGTCAACTTGAAATTGTTGATGATCGGAAGTGAAGGAGATTGTTGAGAATGAATGGTCTCATTTGGATGATGAAGAGGTTAATTATAAGAACAAGAATAACAACGATGATAATAACAATATCATTTATAATTATAATAATGCTGTTGATGATCGTTAATAATAAATATACTTTTGTTATATCCCAATATGTAGAATAATTGTATTTCTGACGTTTCGTGATGTTTTGCAAGCCCCTTCTGTAGGGTATATTGTAGGGCCAGTGAAATGTCACTGAATCCTAGCCAAATCATCCGGCAGTTGGGTCACTAAATATCGAAAAGTTCATCGGCCATCGTCAAGCTCATGGACAATCAACGTGCATCAGTTAGTCATACTCCATGGACTGGCACATGTGGCAGTGGTTCTGCTTTCGCTTGTATCTTCTTTAACTAATATATTCTTGTAATAACTTCCGTTGTGTTGTACAGTCTTCTGAGCATCCATGATCCCATGATGCGTCGATGAGGCAATCCACGTAGGGTGCTGATCGCGAGGTGTCACTTCGAAGTTAGCTGGTACGTCACACCGTTCCTGTCTAACTCGAGTAGGCCTCGAATCATTCGACATAGATCATCAACGTTGATGGTCTACAATATAAATTACCGACATTATATTAACACAAGTTTAGCTAATACAATGGTAACACAGACACAGTTGATCCAAAGTTGTGAACTGGTCGAAGAAGAACTGATTCAACTGATAAATATATACCATCTTATGCACATTTATTTCTTAGAGGGTTGTGTACATTTGTGATTGGTAGGATCTACTAAATCGGTGTTGACCATTTCATGGTAAATGAGATTACTCATTAACATTATACATTCAATAATAAACTATTGTACAATATTTAGTACTAAACACATGGACCAATAACCTTGATTAAATAGTTTCCTGAAAGGTCCAGTGTAATTCGGTATCATCGTCAAAAGAATATTCATATAATTTGTGAAAGATCAGATTTCGTAACATACACAGGAATATGAACTGACCAATATTTCTCGGCTGTCATGAGTGAATTTAAATGCAGGTAATTATGGTCATAATTACTTGTTCACAAACGTCTCGTTCAATCATATTCATTCATGGGAACATGACAACTTGCACTCCGACTACTCAGTCCATTAATTTGCATAATAATATAGAACATTCTCTATCTTCTTTCTAGTGGTTGAATCCAATGACAAAGTGAGAAATACAAGAACATCTTAACAAGTACTAAACAATGATCACTCCGATAGGAAAAATAACTACGGAGGAAAGAAACCCAATACACGGTAGTAGTAGTAGTAGTAGTAGTAGTAGTAGTAGTAGTAGTAGTAATAATAATAATAATAATAATAATAATAATAATAATGATCATAAATCGTACGCTCTTCCATAAAAGCATATTGTGTACTTACTGTCTTCCACTTTATCATCGCAGATCATAAGCAGGAGATTTTGAGTGACTAGGAAACTATCATTAAATCTGTGTAGAAGAGTACAAGTACAATACATATCACAAATCAAGAATAATGAAGAAATATTGAAGTGTCTAAGAACTATTAATCAAAACCAATTAATCTTTACTAACGAATTCTAAATAATTCGGAAATGTGTAAATCTATTCTCAGATCTAAACAAATATCATTTAACTGCATTAATATACAGTAATTCTCCACAAATTTTCCCCTTTAATAATTTCTTGTCACTGCTGTCCCACATGCTTAAGCAATCTGTGCTAAAATTGATGTGGAAGAAGTTGGGAGACAAGAAATTGTTTGAAATCATTTTTGATTAATTGATTAATTGATTCAGTAATCTGCTAACGTAATCATCACAGGACTATTTGGTCTCTGTTAGTAATATTCAAATCTTACTAGTAACAGTAAACACGAGTACATCTTTTCGAATTCAAATTTCCTCATAACCTTTGCCATCTTCTGATTTGTTGATGCTCTTATTATTTACTAATTTTCAGTACAATTCAAAGTTGAGCTTTCTTCACAGTATATACTGAGTCATAATTTTTCAAGTTATCTTGTTCGGATTCCAGGTTTGTTCCACACTTCGTTTTCTCTCTATACTAGTGGCTAATTATTGAAGTGTTTTGTCTCAATTGCCATTAACGTATCCACAATAGAACTGTTCGTATTGGAATTACTCTATCGTTATTCGATTTGCATGTACAGTAGACCAACAAGAAACATCAATACCGTAATCCGTTTCTATAAATACATAACACAATCTGGTGTCAACTAAGATCAATAGACAAGTGTAATGAATAAATGATAAATTGCACAAAGTTGAGAAATGGTTAGATTGGAGTTCATGTCAACTTTCTGTTATGAATGGGTTCAGTGTAGCGCACCACAACATGCTGGATGATAAACACAAGTGTGGTAAACAGGATAAGTTGAAAGGAAATCTTCGGAGAAAACTACAATATTGCTGACAATCTCAGCCAAAGAGAATTATTGGAAATAAAAGCATATCGTGTATGAAGTCAGTGGCCTTGAACTGATACAACTCATGGTACATATATACTGGAATCGCATTGGTGAACAAACATTTTTAATTCTGCTGTCTCAGGATATGCGATAAGCTGTTAACCCTTTGTGATCTACATAATTAATTGTCACCAAATTAAAAACAAATGTATTGTTATACAACGAGAAGACAACATTTTAAGTGCATACTATGTGAATGAGGGTTGTCAATTTCACGATGTTCATATTCAGAACTGCAACCAATCAGTGTCTGTTGTCATTTGTGGATCACAAGCGGATTGCCTACAAATAAAACTCGGTAACAAGTTATACCATATTGATTGTGTGGTTGACACTGGAATGAAGGACACCCATTCAGTTTTTTGTGGTAATTATTACCTGGATTTAACTCCACTCCACTGTTGAGAATCACCATGAGATTCACACTCAATATCCATCGTTTCAAAAGTCTAACCAATTGTTCACTGGGTCACTGAATACACAGATTCAACAATTTATTCAACGGCTATACAAACCAACTACACGGAATCACAAACACTGTCTAGTACCCTCATACACTTTGAACAAGTTAGTGAGTATTCAAACTCAATGGATCAGTCGACAGCACATTACGTGTTCGGAACGAATGTTACCAGGTTCAAGTCTCACTGCGAACATCAACATACTTGGATTCAGATTCATCCAGATGACAAATCCTGGATTGAGTGTAAACAGTCATTCTGAATTCCACTACCAGCCACATATCAAATACACTCAAAGTATATATGACATGCTTGTGAAATTCAATTTCTATTCTCGCATCACTTTCCGATACATTCAAAATTGTATACACTATCCAATGTAACCTTGCGCTTTTCTCCACATTTGTACATTTTTGCTGAACTTGTTTTCTCATCACTGTTTCCTGTCAAACAAAATTTCTTTTCCTTATTATTATTATTATTATTATTATTATTATTATTATTATTATTATTATTATTATCACTGTTATTGTTACTAAGTGTGAGTGCAATGGAGGCACAAAACTTGATTGATTTATCTTGTATGGACAATAGGTTCGCAAATTCGTTGACACATCAATGAATAAACAGTACACATTCAAAGTTATTTCCCAAAACGTTTATTACTATTTCAAACAATCAGTGATAATCTCACTTTGAACAAAAACTCTATGTACTGTTAGTCATTCTCATACACTGAAATCAATTGCATCAATTTTCGTAGTGTTTATGTCTGACCTACTCGTCTGATTACAATATATGGTGTTTGTGTTCAGTTCAATGTCTATTTTGTCATTTCCAGTCAGATTACGTTACTTTGTTTGTTCGTTCATTTTTTGTACGAAAAGTGATTCATTACAATTTCGGATGCTTTCCTTCGAGAAGAGAATCCATGACATTAAATACTGCAACTCCATATGATCCGCTTCACTTTGATCAATTAGGAATTTCAGGGTGCTTAACACGGTCATCATCTCCTACCGTTCCTCTTCATTTATTTACATCATCATTGATTATCAAATAAACCATGCTTCTGTTGGTGTAACCAGTGATTCTAGAAAATAGACAAATAAATAAGCCGATGTTTGTGTGTGTGAACTGACTGAATATAATTATTTGTTTTTCATCTGACCATCTTCAATAAATCTCCACATCACATCTCATTGATTCTGTCAAAACACACACACATTCCCAACAAAACTCCTAGACGAAGCAATACACGAACTCTCACAGGGATCATTGATTGATTGCGTTTAAAATTGTCTTACACCAGTGTGGAGGATGGAATGGAAATGTGTAGTAGTGACACAGGAAATTTGTTGAAATTTTTATGATAGATAGAAACACATGATTGATGAGGGGAAGACTGAGGAACAGAATATAATATTAATATCACTGTAAACTATGTTTGAAAACAACACATTAGAAACAATTGACCAAAGTGTAACTACCATGTTCATAACTTGCAAATCGAATAATGAGACTTCAGGATGAGACATCACTCGAATCATGTAACAATCGGACGATTCCACACATAGATCGGATGTTGAAGTTTCGTAGTAGTTCATCGAAGTGCTTAACAAGTCACGTACTACATATAAGAGTTGTATGATAAGTATATACGATAGCATCGCCATTACCTTGACCATATAAGCACATCAATGTGTAACACAAGATAAGATATTTTACTGAAATTATTGCAAATCCAAACCAATCGAGAAATACCCGTGCATAATTTGCAAAATTATCACAATAAGTAAATATCAAACTTCTACTGACCAAAATGTTCATCTGAATAGAATTACAAACAAATGTTCTCCTTCTGTAGAGTATCACATGTGTATACCGTATTGAAACCATAATCAAAAAAGAAAATACATTTTCGATCAGTCCACAAATTTCTAACAGTTACAAATGAATTAACCGCAAGACACTTTCTACGACAAATCTACTCACACAAAAGTTTACCAAATTCAATTTGACAATCGAGAATCCTCTCACCAAACTATTCACTCAGAAAGATATGATAATTTATATCAAACATATATTACTCCAGGACACGGTTTACTAAATACTGTACAAAATGTTTCAACTAACTACATGTGGCAGACAGAATAAACAAATGATTAAACAACTCAAGGAAATATTGAGAGAAACAAGTGTCACATCGGTATAGACGACCGATCAAATGATGTTCGACAGGTCACATATAAAATTATCAAGTTCAGTAATTAAACAAGATTTGAATTCGATTGTTCAATAGTGGTGGAGAATTTCTGTTGGACATTGGTTAACTACACCTAACAGTCATCAACTATCTCCTTCTGAACACATCCAAACAACTGTTGTCTCTAAACAGATGACAACCCAACTAACGCTTAAAGTTTGTATAGTCTCTTACTACAACCTATAGATGAAACGCATGATCATGTGTTGAAAGAGTCAATTTGTCAGAGTACTAACAAACAATCTGTGCTGGTAATACATAAATAGATTAAAGCTTACAGAAATGGGTTTGATGGATTCATGAGAAATTACTCTAATTAGTTATCCATCCTATTTGCTGTAAATTCATTCGTTAAACATCTATCACAGTTGATCCACAACTGTCGAACACCAACCAGTTTCATCATCATTATTTCTCATTCATAAATAATCCCACCATCGATTAACACTTTGTTAAATCAACGATTGACTAATCTTTAATGACTCATCCGTTGAATGTCTTAATTTCCACTCTCAATTGCATTTCAATCAAATATTCACATATTCATGTAAACTACCGACACACGCACCACACTCCCACTATTTTACCGCACTATTACACATTTTACAACACAAAAGTATGAACAACACACAATGACGATATACACTCAAACCAATATGACTAAGAACTAGTTTATATAGTAAAGACGTGACGACTCCTAAACATTCAATCACTAGCAGCAAACATTCGACATGTGCACCTCAATTCAACTGATTGATTACTTGACGATAGTAACAAAATTGTCGACTCGAACGAGAAAATATCGTCCAATTGTTCACATATTCAAAGACAATTCTAACAAGCCGTTCATTATCTCATATTGTACAAAGTAACACAGGCAACTGTACAAATCTCCACACACACGTTGTACATGATATAAAACGCAATCATCAGTCAATTATTCTATTATATTGTAATCTACATAATCCTCATAATTCTTCAATCGTTCTCTACTACATACTTAAAATTGTCAGAACAGGCAATGAAAGTTTACACAATTTCAGTCTGAACAATTCTATTTACAAATGAGTTAACAGGAAACAGAACAAACATATTCAAAAACAATGATTATTATTATTAGTGTTATTATTAACCTCTTCACCATCCCAATGAGAACATTTATTCTCAACAATCTCCTTCACTTCCGATCATCAACAATTTCAAGTTGACATCAATTATACACATATATCGATTACCGAACATACCGAACATGTTATGCATCATCAATGAAATATCAAGTAGTTAATTACACAGAAATCACTAGAATAAATATCTATCAATATAAACCAATTCATCATGATAATAAACAAAATTGACAAACGTCTAATATATGTGTATTCTAAGTCAACTATCATCCGTCATCCACATAACCAATTGTCGATCACCGTCATTAATTCAAAGACAAAAAGAAATGGGATTTTTACAAAACCAACATTTCAATTTAATTATGTACAGTATGCAACAGAGTAGTCAACCACTCAACATTTGAAACAAACCAGTATTGCACAACACTCCACTTCAAATCGATTCAAAACAAAAGAACTAACAGACAAACAACTTCACACACACACACCACACGAATACACAATAATGATGAAAATGAAGAACAATTTTCGTGCATTCATTGATAGATAGGTCAGTCACAATATGTATACATACATAGATATAAATTCAATTTACAAATGTGCACTATTCACATGAATAGAATTGATGACAATCACAATGGTAGTTCATGCATGGATCGCCTCTCACCAAACATTCAGCTTTTCGATGATAATTTCAGTTTCTCCGACCAATATTGTTTCTTCATCTGCAGAATTTCAATCTTCAGATCTAGACATTTTATTCGCTTGTGAATCAACGTCTCTGACAATGGGGTTCCCTCACATTCCGATCTACAAAAACCAGTCACAGTTTGAACATCTGATTATTATCACGAGTCAAATGTAGGATAGATGTGATTATATGCATGTTTATATATACATAAATGTCGTCACATATATCATAATCACAAATGTACTACACCATATGCACAACTCACAAACACAAGTAGATAAGAATTTTCACTCAATACCCTCATATTCAGTGGGCATGCACATACTGACACACACTCTCATATTAACGACAATAATCAAGCTGTTCAGTGACGTAGAAATTGGAACGAAGACACTTCAGTGAGATGGACCACCATTGCACACAAGCGAACAGTGTTTGATTTGTGTACATATGATTGTTTATACTGGTTATTTGTCCGTCTACTAATTTATCTATCTATCTATCTATGTATCTATCTATCTATCTGTCTCGTTGGTATCATCACCAAGGTTTAACTTGATAATTTCGAATAAATTGAGCATTGGGTAGATTGTTATAAATTATAAATAATGTATATATAAAACATATAATTTTGATCTGGTGATTACTTCTCTGAAGAAGTGGCCTACACTGAGTCATGGAATGTCAGAAAATCTCATTTTCTACTCATTCCGATATTACAAATAAATTATTTTATTTATATCTGTCTCGATGGTTAGCTCGCTCACTCACTGCTTGTGTGGATCGCATCCTAGTAGTACCGTAACAATTATAGTCATCAAGATAATTGCACATTCTCATGTTCACATAACAAGCAGTGTGGAGCAGTCGGTCAGTTAGCAATATGTGATGCTAGTGGTGGCAGTCAAACAACAAACGACATGAATAACATAAGGTGAAAAGTGTCAGTTCAAAAGAGGTGTCCTACTTACGTGATACAATCCTCGGACGTTTCACCCAAATCATTCACATGATTCGTGTTCACCTGATCTCTCGTTCCACTCAACTCTTGACAGCTCTCCTCGTCATCACTCGACACTGATAAATCAATTGTTGCAGTCACAGGATTTCGACTCGGTTGGTCCGATGGTGGCTTCGACATATTCACTTCTCGAACAGGAGATTCGGATGCAGTATGGGCTCTCGCCACTCCGAACGAGATACATGACAGAGGAGTCAGTAAGGCAACTCGGTTAATCGCCACCTCACCAACCATGTTGTTGTTGTTGGTGGTGGTTGGCTGCAGCACTGCAACATCATGTGGAATGGCCAGTTGTTGAGACATGTGAGCTGTTGAGAATGCGTTGAGGATTTTTGGACCACTTGTGTTTGGGGGATTCGGTTGCACGTGGTTTGTAGGGGAACTGAGTGATGGTGTGGCACGTTTGGAGGTGGTGCTTACCACTGGTGACGGGGTCAGTGTAGGCAAGTTGGGTCGATGCACACTCGACTGGTTCTCGGTCACCTGAATTCAATGGAAACAATTAGCACGTCATCGGGTAAGGCAAACTTACCGAACCAATGTGTCCATTCACGTGTGGGTTTGCATTGGAACTGGAGAGTGGCGTGTGGTTCGAGGGATTTTCAAGGGGATTGGGATTGCTTTTCGACACCTCCAACTGGTTGGTTGTCATGTCATTGAATTTCCTCAGCAAACTCTGACCCTTTCGACGCAGCTGAGTCCAGTTCCTTCTCGGCCATCCCTTCGAGTGTAGATACTGTGAGAATTGCATCCACAAATGTTTCTGGACAAGTGCGGATGACTGTTTCTTGTCTTTCCAAATATCCCGATATCTCAATACCAGTTTGGCTAACTCATTCGCCTCCTCAGTTGTGTATCGTGTGACCATGGTCATGTTCGACTGTGTTGTTGTTGGTGGTGGTGGTGTTGGTGTTTGTGATGTAGGAGGAGGAAGTTTTGATGCACAAGCTGACTTTCGAGGTGTATTGATCATGATCGAGCAATCTGTCATGTGGTTGTGAAATGAACGAAAGTAAGATTTTGAATGAGAGTGTGAGACAGACAGGTGACACGTTGAGAATTTTCTGCCACCAACCGTATATTCCATGCACTCAATTACTATTGGTTGAGTGTTGTTAGGTAGTTAGTGATAAGTGGACAGTCATGTAAACCTTGTTGGTGTGTGATGTGGAATGTCGGTTGTGTCTGTTTAATTGTGTCTGTTCGCTTGTGTCTGCTATCTTTATTTATGTTAGGATGATTCTTAAAGTTTCTTGCAATAGACATGACAAGCTCAATAAACATTTAGAAGGCTTTTATCCAATCAGCGTTTGATTTGAAGTTTTGCTAGAAATATCACGAAAATGAATAGTCAAATGTTGAGTTTCTGATTGGCTGATTAATACACTGATACTATTTTTAGTAGTATTCTAGAATTTTCAGGAAAACCCCAAGACATTTTAAATACTATAAAAACCCTATAATATCTATAGATAAATGAACCTTTGAAGTGAAGTGCTTCCCGCTTATTTTGTGCTTTTTCTTTCGTGTTAAAATCGCTGTGTAGTTCTAGCTTCCAAGTTACCAGAATAACTTGAGATTCAAGTATAGCGTTCAATCAGCAAGACTCAACAATTTAGTCACTGATATTCATGCTGGTTTTAACGTGTGTGTCTCATGTCCGATTGGTTTTGATCACTTCGGAATATTCACGCATTCCGATGCGTTTATTACTTGAACAACATTGCGATAAAACATTAAATTTGAAGACACAGATTTGATTCACACCTCAGTTTTCTGTCAGCTACTGATCATTTTTCAATCTCAATCTTTCTAGTAATCTATGTATGTGTTGACTCCACTAATTAGAATGTAGGAGAATCTTTAACTTCAATTATCCATATAAACTACTGATGAATGGACATTACATTGATGCAAACGTTTAGTCACTGATTTAGACAGTATGTGGATCTGGAGTGGTAGTAGTAGTAGTAGTAGTAGTGGTGTACAAAGCTGTGCATTTTACCTCCTAACGACCATATTGAAACGAGATGAAGTTTGTTATTGGAAATAACACACATTGATATTCTATGAAACACATGAACAGATAACTTACATTTGTGTGTTGTTTCATCAGGACAGTATTGACAAGAATGACCTCTCGTATACTGTAAGTTCAATTTCAGCACATGAAATAAAAGTCCAAACAGAAATATGACAAACTGCATACAGAAATACAAATCAATTGGAAACGATCAATATATAGTAAAAATATCGGTGAAACAATCCAGTCTATCTAATGATGCATTGTAGGACAAGGTGAAATTCACGTGTGTTTGTCACACACTCAATTGGCATCAGTGCGTTGGCAGTATTGATTGTGAGGGTGGACACATACGAAACACATTATTTAGTCTACGCGTTAATTCACATTGAACACAATGCTGTTGATGCTGTTTTAGGCTAGAATAATCAATATGTGAATTCCTTGTAAACATATCGTGAAATTGAATGTTTAGCTGAATAATGAATATCATGTGTGGACGAAATGTAGTACGAAGAATAGAGGCATCACAATATGAAGACAATATTGAGACTGTAAATGTGTGACTGAACAATCAAATATGAGAGACATGGAAAGGAGAGCTGTTGCATGTGACTGAGACGAGATTACAGAAAACAAACTAACCGTACAATGAAATCCGATGTAGAAAATGAGAATTCTTCACTGCACACCAACAATGACCAACCGATGAATTAACTAACACTAATCAACCAGTGATCAATATGTTATAGTGTTATAAATTTATATAAGCATAATTGTGACTTGAGTTCATTTTCTGCATATTTTCACTGTTCCAACTGATCATAGAGTGGTTCATAATACATCTAACCAGTTTGGCTTTTGAAGTTTGATGCTTCACCACAGATCTATTCGAAAGTAATTGCACATTTCACGTAGGTTTGTGTTAACTACTCAACTATTCACCACACTTACTTGATAATTCCAAGTTGATAAATCAAGTTGTCGCTTTGTCTTTAGTTACTTGTTTTATTCGTTGGTGTTTCTGTGCATGAACTGTAATGAGTGTCTTACATTAGAAAGAATCAACATTGCTGAGATACTTTGGCTTCGAGAGTTGTGTCGTCAATGTCTTCCCGTGACATTGAATATTTACAAACAGACTAGTGTATGATACTGAGATTTCGACCATGTTGTTTCCAAGTTGGATAATTGTGAAAACTTTCAACTGAAATGAAGTGATCTTTGTTCTCTGGTTCGATTCAGTGAACAGTTCACCATTCTTAATGCTCGACCAACTAGTCATGTATAGTAAGGAGATTGAGTACATGTGTCATCTATAAACATATTTGTTGGAATATCATGCTTCGTGTTTGAGCGAATGACGAAAGAGAACAATAAGAAACTGTCTCCCTTGACTTTTATTTAACACAGTTCATTAAGTCAACATGAATGTAGCAATGATAATATGTTTCGAACCCAATTTAATTGACTTATTGATTGAGGAACTCGACTGTCAAATATAGTGGAGTCGGTGGGAGTGCACCTCAATGGACCTGACCTCTACATCCAGAAATTGTTTGTACGACTTCTTTGTTCTCTCTGGTCATCAAATTACTTTCAGTTTTATTCTTCCATTTGTAAGTCTATCTCAATTAAAACTGTTCATGTTAAATATAAATTAATAATTCGAATGGAATCCTTTGACTGTTTCCACTTTTGTTTATTCTTGTTTAACGCTATTAATTCTAGTTATTATCTCATTGATTAATTGTAGCATTATTTATTATTAGTTGGCCCGAATTCGACCAATGATTTTTCGGTGTTCATTTAAATTAATACTACTTGTATGTCTGGACATTTTCCTCTTTTTTTAAATCCGTGAATTATGTTTATGGAAGCATAATTTTCACTAATATTTTCATTTCTAACACAGAAATATCTTTGGTAGAATGTTTTTGAATATGTCATCTTGATGGATCATAATTTGCCGGCTGAATAACTCGGATTAACTGAAAGTTGTAGCATGAAATGAAATCCTTTGTGAAAGTTATGCGCTTCAATGTAGCATATAATCACTATGTTTACGAAAAGATTACTGAAAATTCTTGGTACTGGGCACAGATTTAATATTAGAAAATAGATACTGTGAGAATTCAATGATATTGAAACTATCCCTTGTATGGCAATCTAGTTAAGTGAAAATTTCCTTAGATAACTAACCAATATACATATACTAGTTTATTTTGCGTACAAAATAAATAGAAGTTTAGGCCAACTTAATTGTATCAGTTCTCATGCCTGTTATCTTTTTGTATCCGTGCATCTTTGTCTTGTTAATTTATAAAAGTTAGTTTTGTTTGTGCACAGAATTTATTCAGCACAGTCTAAAGTCTACTATTTCTAGTTTTGTCCAAAATAACTGTTTTATCATTTTTCAATTATGGTATTATTACTGAGTACTAACAGTTTTATAACCTACCCTAGCTCTTCTAAGGTTACTTCCGGTTACGTGTTCGGACAAAACAAACCAATATGTTCAACACACCGGTTAATTTCATTTATGTGCGGAAACTGATGGTACTCGAACAAGGAAAACACTGAGTTTCCACACAGTAGAAAGAAGAAAACAGAACTGTAGACAGATGAAGATTTTAGTACTCCCTTCGAAAAATACGACAGCCACTCTAACCGTATCCACTCATTTATCGATCAATTTGACTGACATTTAGTGATTAGTCAACGAGTATCATGCATAAATACTTACTTACTTACGCCTGTTACCCCTCGTGGAAGAGCATAGGCCGCTCACCAGCATTCTCCATCCAACTCTGTCCTGAGCATTCCTTTCCAGTTCTTTCCAGTTGCTATTCATCCTTTTCATATCTGCTTCTATTTCCCGGCGTAGTGTGGTCTTTGGCCTTCCGCTTTTCCGCTTCCCTTCCGAATTCCAAGTAAGGGATTGCCTTGTAATGCACATTGGTGATTTCCTTAATGTATTTCCGATCCACTTCCAACGTCTTCTCCTAATTTCCTCTTCCTCTGGAAGCTGGTTTGTCCTCTCCCATAAAACGCTGTTGCTGATAGCATCCGGCCAATTGATGTTGAGTATTTTGCGTAGACAACTGTTGATAAATATTTGTACCTTCTTGACGATGGTCGTAGTAGTTCTCCACGTCTCAGCTCCATACAGTAGGACTGTCTTGACGTTCGTATTAAAGATTCTGACCTTTAAATTGGTTGAGAGTTGTTTTGAGTTCCATATGTTGTTCAATTGTAGGAATGCTGCCCTTGTTTTGCCAATCCTCTCCTTTACATCTGCATCCGATCCTCCTTGTTTATCAACGATGCTCCCCAGGTACTTGAATGTTTCCACCTCTTCCAGAGTTTCGTCATCATGTGTGATTGGGTTGGTGTTCTCCGTGTTGCATTTGATCATGCATAAATAATGTGTTGAAAATACAAAATAGATTTTACACTGAATTCATACAAACTGAAAGCTGTATATTATGCTGAAAGAATGCCACCCCAAGTTAATCGAAAGGATTTTATGCTGAACATGAATCACACTGAATTAAAAATGTGGTCGCAACTTTTTATCTCGTCTTAACGAATATAATTCGCGATCTTTTGAAAATGGATCTTTTTCTTATGAAAAACAAAGTATTCCTTATTCATTCTGTTACATGATTTAAAGTGTAAAAATCGAACGAATTTGTAAAATGTAATAAATTGTGAAGTACTGGTCCTTACAAACCATGTTTTATAGATTGATCAGATTTTAATGTTATAGTCTGTATGTCAAAATAAGCAGGAAATGTAATAATCCCTACTGACCAATTGGCGCTTGTGGTAATTGTTCAGTTTCAAGATAAGTTATTCTATAGCTGGATCTTGATTCAAATTCAAATTTGTGTTTTAGGAACAGAAGGCTGAAGGTCTGTGTCAGTCCTTTTCTGGTATGCTTTGCGTGTGCCTAGTCTTTTCCTGAGAGAGTCAATTGCTGATAACTCGGTAGAAATACCGATGTACTTTTGAAAGTTCGTTTTTTTGGCTTTTAAACCTATCTGCTATGTCCTCTAAGTTGTCTTCAACTAGTCGTTCGAAAAAGGGAGGATGTATTAGGTCCAAAATCATTTTTTAGTATCTCATACATTATAATTAAGTTACATCTTAATCTACGTTAATATAGTGTGAAAAGATTTAGCTTCTTAAGCCAAACATTTCCTGAATTGCACATGTAGCTATCCTTTGTACTCTTCCTAACAAATGTTAGTCGTCTATTTAAACAGCATCTTGTGGTCTGCAGACAATTTCTAGTATGAAACTAACTAAGGTTGTGGAAATTGTGTTGACTGGTGCAAGTAATCAGCACTACCTTCAATTTCGTCTCGTTTCTTACCAAACTGAAAGAAACAGTAACCTGTGTTTTATGTTCCGGACTTATGGAAATTTTGGGATGGTGTCATACAGTAGAATTCCGGGTTTGCATCCCTGTTAATTTCTAACTCGTTACCAGATCAGAACTACTCTCAGGGTTGATATCCAAGCCCAGTATCTATCACCTCGAACATCAACTCTAGGAAATCCATCTAATCATTAAATGCAGTCCTTAATATCAACAATATGAAAACAGAAAACCATTTATGCACATAACTACTAGTTTTAATTTGAAAAATCCTTAAGAAGCACAATATGAGAGTGGATGTATCAGATGACATAGTTTGTTCACAAGCTAGTAAGCTTCAATTATTTAATTTCAATGTAATCAGTCACACGACCCCTAAATCATACCGGTATTTGTCTTTTGAAATTTCCCATGGACGATTACTCTACTGCAAGTATTTTCAAAAGAAATTAATACATACAACTCGGTATTGTGTGTACATTGCTCTATGTGTTCTAAATGAAATGTCCAACTATAATGACTGAACGATTCAGGGACTAACCTAAATATTTGTTTGTACAGTATCTAATACAAAGTAGGCTTAACTGAGTGATATTTGGGCAACAAAATAATTCAGTTTTATCAACTAACTGTCATCACAATGACCTTGAAAAAACTATTGATTGAACACATTTGTCTGAGTTGTGAAAAGATGACTAATTCTTTTGTCGATGTCTGACATAAAAGTCTGACTTGTCTACAAACCGTTATTGATTATTCTGTAGTCTCGTTATAGATTGAGATCACATGATATACTTTAAATAAACCACAATGACAACACCCATTGTAAATAACCTTAATCAGTTAGAAAAACAAACACATGGTGAACTAAACAACAGACACATAAAATAAATAAGAGGTGAGATATAGCTGTGCTAAAGTCCTATCGATTAATTTGTTTATACATTAAACAAGTTTATGACTCAACCAAGGTCAGTAAAATCAAAGTGGTAGGATTTTAAAATATAATTTGACAAGAACTAACGCAGTGAAAGTTGTATAGGGACAAACCAATTAGAATGCGTTTTTCTCTGCTTTCGTCCAAAATTGAAATTTTACGAACAGCATGCGACTCTGCGTTTCCATAGTCATTATTTTGTTTGTCTAGCCATTTTACTAATACATATACAGCGATGACTCCATACATCTGGTTATGACGCAAACAACAACGTACACAACGTACATTATTATTGTTATTATCAATTGCAGTAAAGCAACGAATATCATCCATCAATGCAGTTTTCATTTTACTGTTGCATTATTTTTATTCCACAAAACTCTTTGTATGTAAATGTAATCCCACTAACTGTTAATAGACGCTACTAACTCTACTGTGGCTCATCAGAACACGTTCATATTTCAATGTTCTTTATCATTATATTTCATCGGTACAATCTCTGTTATATTCTACTCTACTTATTTTAATGACTTATTCCACTGTCATATCCACAAACGATTGATTACTCTGTCTTCACTGTACTTCAAGTCTCTCATAAGAACGTGTCATTTCATCGTCCAGGCAGTCACGACGTAAATGAATGTTAATTTTTTTGTACGCTTGTTAATTTACTTATAATCACATACTATCACTTTCATTTTTGTCCACGTCTTTACAATATTGATGTATTCCATTTTACATAAGTATGACACTTATGATATACTCCCTCTTCGTGTAACACTATAGTCTACGAGATTTAGTAAGAATTATATTTCACTAATTATTGTTAAATTTAACCACATACCTTTTCATTGTTATTTTGGCGAAAAGACATTTTTTGAAATTATTACGTCACTAATTTGATCGATTTAATAATCTCATCTATCTAATGATGAATTGTAAGATAAGGTTAAATCCACAATGTGTTTGTCATACACTCAATTGGTATGAGTGTTTCAAAGTATTGATTAAGAGGGTGGACACATACCAAATCGCACAAGTTTGTTGTTGAAGTAGTTCATGTCACATTGTGTCTTGGTGATTAAAAGAAAATAATATTTAAAACTTGTCAATCTTATTCACTCATTTTCATCCCTCTTTCAAATTATATCTATGTGATGTATGTATATAGAGAGATTAATGATTGTTCACATTTATTGTTTGTTTGTAAGAAGTTGATTAGTTGTCAATGTAATTACAGAATAAAAAGATTGGATAATGAAAAATATATTGTATGTGATTGAAGAATGTTTGATCGAAGCTTAGCAACTGAGAATATATTTGGTTAATGTAAAATGAAAATTATTCATTTTCTTGAGGTTTATATCAGGAAAAACAAATTAAACAAACTAAGAAGATAATTAGGAAACTCAACTCATAACATTTGTGATGGTGGAGAAGATTTGTAGCTTCTACCCGAAGTTTGTGCTGATGATGTCGTTCAGAAGGACGATGAAAGCTCCACGACCAAACCACCCAGCTCAGAGAACAAACCAACATCAAAATCATAACATTTGTACATGAATAAAGTAATATATAACATAATATAATTGTACTGGTAACACTGGATTAACTTTGAGGGTTCGTGAGTAATAAGGTACTGAAGGCTGTTAGTTAAAGAAAAAACAAATAAATGTATTACTCTGAACATAGACAAACAAAGACTTAGAACGTATTCAAGAAATTCATGTCCACACATCAAATATATAAGGTTGAAATACACATTCACGAACAACGCACACCAAACTTTAAAAGTCAATGAACCACACTATGATCAGTTGGAACAGTGAAAATATGCAGAAAATGAACTCAAGTCACAATTATGCTTATATAAATTTATAACACTATAACATATTGATCACTGGTTGATTAGTGTTAGTTAATTCATCGGTTGGTCATTGTTGGTGTGCAGTGAAGAATTCTCATTTTCTACATCGGATTTCATTGTACGGTTAGTTTGTTTTCTGTAATCTCGTCTCAGTCACATGCAACAGCTCTCCTTTCCATGTCTCTCATATTTGATTGTTCAGTCACACATTTACAGTCTCAATATTGTCTTCATATTGTGATGCCTCTATTCTTCGTACTACATTTCGTCCACACATGATATTCATTATTCAGCTAAACATTCAATTTCACGATATGTTTACAAGGAATTCACATATTGATTATTCTAGCCTAAAACAGCATCAACAGCATTGTGTTCAATGTGAATTAACGCGTAGACTAAATAATGTGTTTCGTATGTGTCCACCCTCACAATCAATACTGCCAACGCACTGATGCCAATTGAGTGTGTGACAAACACACGTGAATTTCACCTTGTCCTACAATGCATCATTAGATAGACTGGATTGTTTCACCGATATTTTTACTATATATTGATCGTTTCCAATTGATTTGTATTTCTGTATGCAGTTTGTCATATTTCTGTTTGGACTTTTATTTCATGTGCTGAAATTGAACTTACAGTATACGAGAGGTCATTCTTGTCAATACTGTCCTGATGAAACAACACACAAATGTAAGTTATCTGTTCATGTGTTTCATAGAATATCAATGTGTGTTATTTCCAATAACAAACTTCATCTCGTTTCAATATGGTCGTTAGGAGGTAAAATGCACAGCTTTGTACACCACTACTACTACTACTACTACTACCACTCCAGATCCACATACTGTCTAAATCAGTGACTAAACGTTTGCGTCAATGTAATGTCCATTCATCAGTAGTTTATATGGATAATTGAAGTTAAAGATTCTCCTACATTCTAATTAGTGGAGTCAACACATACATAGATTACTAGAAAGATTGAGATTGAAAAATGATCAGTAGCTGACAGAAAACTGAGGTGTGAATCAAATCTGTGTCTTCAAATTTAATGTTTCATCGAATTGTTGTTCGAGGAATAAACGCATCGGAATGCGTGGATATTCTGAAGTGATCAAAACCAATCGGACATGAGACACACACGTTAAAACAAGCATGAAAACCAGTGACTGAAATGATAAGTTTTGCACATTGAACGCTATACTCGGATCCTAAGTTATTCTCGTACCCCCACGCAAGAACTACACAGAGAATTTAACACGAAAGAAAAAGCACAAAATAAGCGGGAAGCACTTCACTTCAAAGGTTCATTTATCTATAGATATTATAGGGTTTTTATAGTATTTAAAATGTCTTGAGGTTTTCCTGAAAATTCTAGAATACTACTAAAAATAGTATCAGTGTATTAATCAGCTAATCAGAACATTTACATGCGACTTTTCGTTTACGTGATACTTCAAGCAAAACTTCAAATCAAACGCTGATTGGATAAAAGCTTTCTAAATGTTTATTGAGCTTGTCATGTCTATTGCAAGAAACTTTAAGAATCATCCTAACATAAATAAAGATAGCAGACACAAGCGAACAGACACAATTAAACAGACACAACCGACATTCCACATCACACACCAACAAGGTTTACATGACTGTCCACTTATCACTAACTACCTAACAACACTCAACCAATAGTAATTGAGTGCATGGAATATACGGTTGGTGGCAGAAAATTCTCAACGTGTCACCTGTCTGTCTCACACTCTCATTCAAAATCTTACTTTCGTTCATTTCACAACCACATGACAGATTGCTCGATCATGATCAATACACCTCGAAAGTCAGCTTGTGCATCAAAACTTCCTCCTCCTACATCACAAACACCAACACCACCACCACCAACAACAACACAGTCGAACATGACCATGGTCACACGATACACAACTGAGGAGGCGAATGAGTTAGCCAAACTGGTATTGAGATATCGGGATATTTGGAAAGACAAGAAACAGTCATCCGCACTTGTCCAGAAACATTTGTGGATGCAATTCTCACAGTATCTACACTCGAAGGGATGGCCGAGAAGGAACTGGACTCAGCTGCGTCGAAAGGGTCAGAGTTTGCTGAGGAAATTCAATGACATGACAACCAACCAGTTGGAGGTGTCGAAAAGCAATCCCAATCCCCTTGAAAATCCCTCGAACCACACGCCACTCTCCAGTTCCAATGCAAACCCACACGTGAATGGACACATTGGTTCGGTAAGTTTGCCTTACCCGATGACGTGCTAATTGTTTCCATTGAATTCAGGTGACCGAGAACCAGTCGAGTGTGCATCGACCCAACTTGCCTACACTGACCCCGTCACCAGTGGTAAGCACCACCTCCAAACGTGCCACACCATCACTCAGTTCCCCTACAAACCACGTGCAACCGAATCCCCCAAACACAAGTGGTCCAAAAATCCTCAACGCATTCTCAACAGCTCACATGTCTCAACAACTGGCCATTCCACATGATGTTGCAGTGCTGCAGCCAACCACCACCAACAACAACAACATGGTTGGTGAGGTGGCGATTAACCGAGTTGCCTTACTGACTCCTCTGTCATGTATCTCGTTCGGAGTGGCGAGAGCCCATACTGCATCCGAATCTCCTGTTCGAGAAGTGAATATGTCGAAGCCACCATCGGACCAACCGAGTCGAAATCCTGTGACTGCAACAATTGATTTATCAGTGTCGAGTGATGACGAGGAGAGCTGTCAAGAGTTGAGTGGAACGAGAGATCAGGTGAACACGAATCATGTGAATGATTTGGGTGAAACGTCCGAGGATAGTGTCACGTAAGTAGGACACCTCTTTTGAACTGACACTTTTCACCTTATGTTATTCGTGTTGTCTGTTGTTTGACTGCCACCACTAGCATCACATATTGCTAACTGACCGACTGCTCCACACTGCTTGTTATGTGAACATGAGAATGTGCACTTATCTTTAAGACTAAAACTGTTCCTACAGAACTGTGAGGACCAGCAGTGTGTGAGCTAAACAACGAGATGGATGTAATTAGAACAATATATTTGTAATATCGGAATGAGTAGAAAATGTGATTTTCTGACGTTTCGTGACTCAGTATATGCCACTACTTGAGAGGAGAAATCACTAGATCAAAATAATTTGTTCTATATATTTATATATAATTTATAATAAACTAGCCAATGCTCAATTTATTCGAAATGATAGATAGATAGATAAATTAGTAGACAGACAAATAACCAGTATAACCAATCATATGTACACACATCAAACACCGTTCGCTTGTGTGCAATGGTGGTCCATCTCACTGAAGTGTCTTCGTTCCAATTTCTACGTCACTGAACAGCTTGATTATTGTCGTTAATATGAGGGTGTGTGAGTGTGTGTGCATGCTTAGTGAAAATTCTTACCTACTTGCGTTTGTGAGTTGTGCATATGGTGTAGTACATTTGGTGATTATGATATATGTGACGACATTTATGTATATATAAACATGCATATAATCACATCTATCCTACATTTGACTCGTGATAATAATCAGATGTTCAAACTGTGACTGGTTTTTGTAGATCGGAATGTGAGGGAACCCCATTGTCAGAGACGTTGATTCACAAGCGAATAAAATGTCTAGATCTGAAGATTGAAATTCTGCAGATGAAGAAACAATATTGGTCGGAGAAACTGAAATTATCATCGAAAAGCTGAATGTTTGGTGAGAGGCGATCCATGCATGAACTACCATTGTGATTGTCATCAATTCTATTCATGTGAATAGTGCACATTTGTAAATTGAATTTATATCTATGTATGTATACATATTGTGACTGACCTATCTATCAATGAATGCACGAAAATTGTTCTTCATTTTCATCATTATTGTGTATTCGTGTGGTGTGTGTGTGTGAAGTTGTTTGTCTGTTAGTTCTTTTGTTTTGAATCGATTTGAAGTGGAGTGTTGTGCAATACTGGTTTGTTTCAAATGTTGAGTGGTTGACTACTCTGTTGCATACTGTACATAATTAAATTGAAATGTTGGTTTTGTAAAAATCCCATTTCTTTTTGTCTTTGAATTAATGACGGTGATCGACAATTGGTTATGTGGATGACGGATGATAGTTGACTTAGAATACACATATATTAGACGTTTGTCAATTTTGTTTATTATCATGATGAATTGGTTTATATTGATAGATATTTATTCTAGTGATTTCTGTGTAATTAACTACTTGATATTTCATTGATGATGCATAACATGTTCGGTATGTTCGGTAATCGATATATGTGTATAATTGATGTCAACTTGAAATTGTTGATGATCGGAAGTGAAGGAGATTGTTGAGAATGAATGGTCTCATTTGGATGATGAAGAGGTTAATTATAAGAACAAGAATAACAACGATGATAATAACAATATCATTTATAATTATAATAATGCTGTTGATGATCGTTAATAATAAATATACTTTTGTTATATCCCAATATGTAGAATAATTGTATTTCTGACGTTTCGTGATGTTTTGCAAGCCCCTTCTGTAGGGTATATTGTAGGGCCAGTGAAATGTCACTGAATCCTAGCCAAATCATCCGGCAGTTGGGTCACTAAATATCGAAAAGTTCATCGGCCATCGTCAAGCTCATGGACAATCAACGTGCATCAGTTAGTCATACTCCATGGACTGGCACATGTGGCAGTGGTTCTGCTTTCGCTTGTATCTTCTTTAACTAATATATTCTTGTAATAACTTCCGTTGTGTTGTACAGTCTTCTGAGCATCCATGATCCCATGATGCGTCGATGAGGCAATCCACGTAGGGTGCTGATCGCGAGGTGTCACTTCGAAGTTAGCTGGTACGTCACACCGTTCCTGTCTAACTCGAGTAGGCCTCGAATCATTCGACATAGATCATCAACGTTGATGGTCTACAATATAAATTACCGACATTATATTAACACAAGTTTAGCTAATACAATGGTAACACAGACACAGTTGATCCAAAGTTGTGAACTGGTCGAAGAAGAACTGATTCAACTGATAAATATATACCATCTTATGCACATTTATTTCTTAGAGGGTTGTGTACATTTGTGATTGGTAGGATCTACTAAATCGGTGTTGACCATTTCATGGTAAATGAGATTACTCATTAACATTATACATTCAATAATAAACTATTGTACAATATTTAGTACTAAACACATGGACCAATAACCTTGATTAAATAGTTTCCTGAAAGGTCCAGTGTAATTCGGTATCATCGTCAAAAGAATATTCATATAATTTGTGAAAGATCAGATTTCGTAACATACACAGGAATATGAACTGACCAATATTTCTCGGCTGTCATGAGTGAATTTAAATGCAGGTAATTATGGTCATAATTACTTGTTCACAAACGTCTCGTTCAATCATATTCATTCATGGGAACATGACAACTTGCACTCCGACTACTCAGTCCATTAATTTGCATAATAATATAGAACATTCTCTATCTTCTTTCTAGTGGTTGAATCCAATGACAAAGTGAGAAATACAAGAACATCTTAACAAGTACTAAACAATGATCACTCCGATAGGAAAAATAACTACGGAGGAAAGAAACCCAATACACGGTAGTAGTAGTAGTAGTAGTAGTAGTAGTAGTAGTAGTAGTAGTAGTAGTAGTAGTAGTAGTAGTAGTAGTAGTAGTAGTAGTAGTAGTAGTAGTAGTAGTAGTAGTAGTAATAATAATAATAATAATAATAATAATAATAATCATAAATCGTACGCTCTTCCATAAAAGCATATTGTGTACTTACTGTCTTCCACTTTATCATCGCAGATCATAAGCAGGAGATTTTGAGTGACTAGGAAACTATCATTAAATCTGTGTAGAAGAGTACAAGTACAATACATATCACAAATCAAGAATAATGAAGAAATATTGAAGTGTCTAAGAACTATTAATCAAAACCAATTAATCTTTACTAACGAATTCTAAATAATTCGGAAATGTGTAAATCTATTCTCAGATCTAAACAAATATCATTTAACTGCATTAATATACAGTAATTCTCCACAAATTTTCCCCTTTAATAATTTCTTGTCACTGCTGTCCCACATGCTTAAGCAATCTGTGCTAAAATTGATGTGGAAGAAGTTGGGAGACAAGAAATTGTTTGAAATCATTTTTGATTAATTGATTAATTGATTCAGTAATCTGCTAACGTAATCATCACAGGACTATTTGGTCTCTGTTAGTAATATTCAAATCTTACTAGTAACAGTAAACACGAGTACATCTTTTCGAATTCAAATTTCCTCATAACCTTTGCCATCTTCTGATTTGTTGATGCTCTTATTATTTACTAATTTTCAGTACAATTCAAAGTTGAGCTTTCTTCACAGTATATACTGAGTCATAATTTTTCAAGTTATCTTGTTCGGATTCCAGGTTTGTTCCACACTTCGTTTTCTCTCTATACTAGTGGCTAATTATTGAAGTGTTTTGTCTCAATTGCCATTAACGTATCCACAATAGAACTGTTCGTATTGGAATTACTCTATCGTTATTCGATTTGCATGTACAGTAGACCAACAAGAAACATCAATACCGTAATCCGTTTCTATAAATACATAACACAATCTGGTGTCAACTAAGATCAATGGACAAGTGTAATGAATAAATGATAAATTGCACAAAGTTGAGAAATGGTTAGATTGGAGTTCATGTCAACTTTCTGTTATGAATGGGTTCAGTGTAGCGCACCACAACATGCTGGATGATAAACACAAGTATGGCAAAGAGTGAGTGTACCATTTCTACACGTGTCCATCTACAAATATCCCAACATATCAACTGCAAAATACAGTAAAGTTAAATCACAGTAATCACAGTGACTGGGAAATAGGCATTCGAAAAATGAAAGTTCATCAGATCTCAATTCATGAAATACATAGTCCTAGCATCAGATCACTCATAGGAAAACAAGAACGATCTCCAGCTACTACTACGTCCAAACATGCATCACAATGGTGGTCAGACATCAATTCAGGAATCTCGACTCGATTGTTGATGAACTGAGAGTTTGATTTCACAATTATACAAATCATCAAACATTGAGTGAAGTTATTATTATTATTATTATTATTATTATTATTATTATTATTATTATTATTATTGTTATTGTTATTACCAATGTTACTATTAATTTCGTCTAATTATGCATCCCATTGACAGAGTGAATACGATGTGAATGAGGGTTGTCAATTTCATGATATTCATATTCAGAACTGCAACCAATCAGTGTCTGTTGTCATTTGTGGATCACAAGCGGATTGCCTACAAATAACACTCAGTAACAAGTTATACCATATTGATTGTGTGGTTGACACTGGAATGAAGGACACCCATTCAGTTTTTTGTGGTAATTATTACCTGGATTTAACTCCACTCCACTGTTGAGAATCCCCATGAGATTCACACTCAATATCCATCGTTTCAAAAGTCTAACCAATTGTTCATTGGGTCACTGAATACACAGATTCAACAATTTATTCAACGGCTATACAAACCAACTACACGGAATCACAAACACTGTCTAGTACCCTCATACACTTTGAACAAGTTAGTGAGTATTCAAACTCAATGGATCAGTCGATAGCACATTACGTGTTCGGAACGAATGTTACCAGGTTCAAGTCTCACTGCGAACATCAACATACTTGGATTCAGATTCATCCAGATGACAAATCCTGGATTGAGTGTAAACAGTCATTCTGAATTCCACTACCAGCCACATATCAAATACACTCAAAGTATATATGACATGCTTGTGAAATTCAATTTCTATTTTCGCATCACTTTCCGATACATTCAAAATTGTATATACTATGTAATGTAACCTTGCGCTTTTCTCCATATTTGTACATTTTTGCTGAACTTGTTTTCTCATCACTGTTTCCTGTCAAACAAAATTTCTTTTCCTTAATATTATTATTATTATTATTATTATTATCACTGTTATTGTTACTAAGTGTGAGTGCAATGGAGGCACAAAACTTGATTGATTTATCTTGTATGGACAATAGGTTCGCAAATTCGTTGACACATCAGTGAATAAACAGTACACATTCAAAGTTATTTCCCAAAACGTTTATTATTATTTCAAACAATCAGTGATAATCTCACTTTGAACAAAAACTCTATGTACTGTTAGTCATTCTCATACACTGAAATCAATTGCATCAATTTTCGTAGTGTTTATGTCTGACCTACTCGTCTGATTACAATATATGGTGTTTGTGTTCAGTTCAATGTCTATTTTGTCATTTCCAGTCAGATTACGTTACTTTGTTTGTTCGTTCATTTTTAGTACGAAAAGTGATTCATTACAATTTCGGATGCTTTCCTTCGAGAAGAGAATCCATGACATTAAATACTGCAACTCCATATGATCCGCTTCACTTTGATCAATTAGGAATTTCAGGGTGCTTAACACGGTCATCATCTCCTACCGTTCCTCTTCATTTATTTACATCATCATTGATTATCAAATAAACCATGCTTCTGTTGGTGTAACCAGTGTTTCTAGAAAATAGACAAATAAATAAGCCGATGTTTGTGTGTGTGAACTGACTGAATATAATTATTTGTTTTTCATCTGACCATCTTCAATAAATCTCCACATCACATCTCATTGATTCTGTCAAAACACACACACATTCCCAACTAAACTCCTAGATGAAGCAATACACGAACTCTCACAGGGATCATTGATTGATTGCGTTTAAAATTGTCTTACACCAGTGTGGAGGATGGAATGGAAATGTGTAGTAGTGACACAGGAAATTTGTTGAAATTTTTATGATAGATAGAAACACATGATTGATGAGGGGAAGACTGAGGAACAGAATATAATATTAATATCACTGTAAACTATGTTTGAAAACAACACATTAGAAACAATTGACCAAAGTGTAACTACCATGTTCATAACTTGCAAATCGAATAATGAGACTTCAGGATGAGACATCACTCGAATCATGTAACAATCGGACGATTCCACACATAGATCGGATGTTGAAGTTTCGTAGTAGTTCATCGAAATGCTTAACAAGTCACGTACTACATATAAGAGTTGTATGATAAGTATATACGATAGCATCGCCATTACCTTGACCATATAAGCACATCAATGTGTAACACAAGATAAGATATTTTACTGAAATTATTGCAAATCCAAACCAATCGAGAAATACCCGTGCATAATTTGCAAAATTATCACAATAAGTAAATATCAAACTTCTACTGACCAAAATGTTCATCTGAATAGAATTACAAACAAATGTTCTCCTTCTGTAGAGTATCACATGTGTATACCGTATTGAAACCATAATCAAAAACGAAAATACATTTTCGATCAGTCCACAAATTTCTAACAGTTACAAATGAATTAACCGCAAGACACTTTCTACGACAAATCTACTCACACAAAAGTTTACCAAATTCAATTTGACAATCGAGAATCCTCTCACCAAACTATTCACTCAGAAAGATATGATAATTTATATCAAACATATATTACTCCAGGACACGGTTTACTAAATATTATCCAAAATGTTTCAACTAACTACATGTGGCAGACAGAATAAACAAATGATTAAACAACTCAAGGAAATATTGAGAGAAACAAGTGTCACATCGGTATAGACGACCGATCAAATGATGTTCGACAGGTCACATATAAAATTATCAAGTTCAGTAATTAAACAAGATTTGAATTCGATTGTTCAATAGTGGTGGAGAATTTCTGTTGGACATTGGTTAACTACACCTAACAGTCATCAACTATCTCCTTCTGAACACATCCAAACAACTGTTGTCTCTAAACAGATGACAACCCAACCAACATTTACAGTTTGTATAGTCTTTTACTACAACCTATAGATGAAACGCATGATCATGTGTTGAAAGAGTCAATTTGTCAGAGTACTAACAAACAATCTGTGCTGGTAATACATAAATAGATTAAAGCTTACAGAAATGGGTTTGATGGATTCATGAGAAATTACTCTAATTAGTTATCCATCTTATTTGCTGTAAATTCATTCGTTAAACATCTATCACAGTTGATCCACAACTGTCGAACACCAACCAGTTTCATCATCATTATTTCTCATTCATAAATAATCCCACCATCGATTAACACTTTGTTAAATCAACGATTGACTAATCTTTAATGACTCATCCGTTGAATGTCTTAATTTCCACTCTCAATTGCATTTCAATCAAATATTCACATATTCATGTAAACTACCGACACACGCACCACACTCCCACTATTTTACCGCACTATTACACATTTTACAACACAAAAGTATGAACAACACACAATGACGATATACACTCAAACCAATATGACTAAGAACTAGTTTATATAGTAAAGACGTGACGACTCCTAAACATTCAATCACTAGCAGCAAACATTCGACATGTGCACCTCAATTCAACTGATTGATTACTTGACGATAGTAACAAAATTGTCGACTCGAACGAGAAAATATCGTCCAATTGTTCACATATTCAAAGACAATTCTAACAAGCCGTTCATTATCTCATATTGTACAAAGTAACACAGGCAACTGTACAAATCTCCACACACACGTTGTACACGAAATAAAACACAATCATCAGTCAATTATTCTATTATATTGTAATCTACATAATCCTCATAATTCTTCAACCGTTCTCTACTACATACTTAAAATTGTCAGAACAGGCAATGAAAGTTTACACAATTTCAGTCTGAACAATTCTATTTACAAATGAGTTAACAGGAAACAGAACAAACATTCAAAAACAATGATTATTATTATTAGTGTTATTATTAACCTCTTCACCATCCCAATGAGAACATTCATTCTCAACAATCTCCTTCACTTCCGATCATCAACAATTTCAAGTTGACATCAATTATACACATATGTCGATTACCGAACATACCGAACATGTTATGCATCATCAATGAAATATCAAATAGTTAATTACACAGAAATCACTAGAATAAATATCTATCAATATAAACCA